GTAAGTTCTTGATTAAACGACAGGATGCAAGTTCACACTTTTAATTGCAACATCAACTCTACTAATTAGTAGGAAGATATAAAAGTTGCCCAAGTGCACATGTTGTCAAAAAATGCCAAGATCTTCCTTAAAGAGCCCCCCACCCTAACCGAAAAAAAGCAGTGGCAAAAAACAAACATGTATTACATCCTAATATATTAACAAATATCATTTTCATGATTAATTATATCAATTATTCCATAACTGAAATTAATTATGTCTTAAGTCTCTTTGTAGTTAATTTATATGCGCCACACAACACGTACACATCAAAAAGTGTTAACATCTATAGGTTTTGAATAAATAATTGAACTGAAAATAAACCTGCACACAAGGCTTTCACTAATAAAGTTTTCACCCCAGCTCAGGCAAATAAGGAAAGCAAAAACGTCCTAATATTAATTTATAAACAGTTTTCTTGGTTGATTTTTATGCAAAAACAGTGTTTACAAAATGGGTGGGAGACGAAGGTTTTAATCATGAATTAGCCTTTGAATATTGAATCCATCTTTAAACCCTCTCTTGTTCTGTTTATCCCGGGGTATGAAGTGAGTCATACCTAGCTTTAAAGGGATCCGGTAACTTTGTCTCAGATTCTGAAATAAAATTCTGGATTTCACTCATGATGCAATGATAATTATAAACCTTTAGGTCAGTCAGGAACCCCATGACATTAACAAGCCGATCGCATGTCTGATTATCAAGATATTTATGATTGAAATTACAAATTTTGAAAACCGTTCGCCTGACGGTTTTCATAACACTAAAGTCTATTGGGGAAAACGAGTATGGTAAAACCGGTCACTTAAAGATTTTTACTTTTTTGAGGCACTTCTTGATCATTTTGAAGCGTAATTTTTTTTAGGGCTTCAATATTACACCATATCACAGACACTGATAACAAGTAGGGCCGTGTATCTCAGATTTAACATTGTTAAACGATCCCTTTAATAATACCCTCTCCAGTCATTAAGCTTTCTCTCTCGCTCACCTTCATCTCTAACTCTCTTTGATGTCTCTTTATCCTTACATTCAAATCTCTATCTTCCTGATCTGTCTCTCTTTTTTTTAATCATACATGTCCTCTTAATATTGTAAATGGATATGATCGTAAAATGGCTAGATTCCAATTCTAATCCTAACTGTTTTCATATCAATGCTCACACATTTTTCCTTTATGATTAAGATTATAGTATGATTATCCGAATGTCTTTTCTCAATTATCTATTACTTAATATTCCCAAAGAAGTCTTCTTATCAAACTTCTCTCTCTTTCTACAGTTTCCCTAAATTCACATTTTTTTAATCATCTACTCTCATTTTCTTCTGTTTCTGTCCTCTTATCTCCTTCCTTTTTACCTTCTCTCTCTCTCCCTCTCTCTCTCTCTCTCTCCTTCCTTCTCCTGTGTTCTCCTCACCAACTCTCCCTCTTGAGCACGTTCTGTGGTGAATGACATGGCATTCTCTTTTGTCTTGGGGTCTCTTGGCACACTGTAATCATCTTCTCTCTAAATCCCCCATCTTATGCATAACCATGACACTTTAGCTGTGTCAAAAGTATCAATGCAACAGGCACGTACATCACAGTCCCAAAGTGAACTTTCTTTCTGGATCAGATTGGGAGGCTCCGAGAACTAAATGTTCTGTAACTGACTTTGTTTATATCTGTGTGTGATTTACTACCGAGGGGAAACATGAGATAGAGTGTATAATGCCGTGTTTCCGTTGAAGTTGAAAGGAGCCCTCATTGATGAAGAGCAAGGTCAAGGAAAGGGCAACAGGGGAGCCAACAGCAGCCAGCACATGCCTGCCAGAAGATCTGGTGCCGGTCAGATTATATGCATAATTGAACCGAGCACATGCAACATTCGTGAGCAATAACATTCACCCAGCAAGCATGGCCACACCTGTCTGAAGCTCATGCGTTGGCTGGCTGGCCAGCAACATTTAACTTGGAGAATGCCTTATCTCTGGCCCACAGCGCTGCTGCCTGAACAGCGCACAACATATGCAACACTTGTGAGTGATAATGTTTACCTCACTGGTTGCGGTCTGGACTCAGGCAAGGTGCTGGATGACATGATAGCAGTATGCTCAATATTTCATTTCCACATGAAACATAATCTCATTATATCTCTGCTACGTCTGTCTCATATTAAGTACTAGCCACCCCCCCCCCCCTTCCCTCAAAAAGAAACATGGGAAATTCTTTACCTTCACATGTATTATGTATTCTATTTCCTGCGGTATTAGAACCATTGTTAGCTTGATCCTAACTGTGTGGACACTATTTTAATTTTAATCCAGACTTCTATCTGAAAACAGTAGCACGGGTTGGAATTTAAATTGATTGACAACCTACTGATATGTCTAAAAATACTGACACCCATAGAATGATAACTTTGATGAGTTTGTATAAATATTCAAATATTCTAAATTATTCTTTTGTATAATACCTGGCCTAAGCAAAATGTAACCTCTAATTTTGGGGCTGGATTTTAAAAAGAGTTTTAGAACAGAGCTAAAGAAGTTCCCTCAACTTAAAAAGGCGACCACTATCGATCCAATGGGATAGCAAAAGAGGACATCATCTAGAGATTACTCATTCATTGTGCCCCTAATGCATGTATACAAAACAAAATATGGAAGAAGTTTTTGTGGTTTATATTTGTAAAGGGCAACATTCTACTTGTTAGAGGTCTCTGTAACATTCCGTGACCACAAAGGATAAAGACCGGTATCTTGGGAAGGTCTACCATTATTGGTTTGGAGCTTCTGCCTTCGGGCACCGTCTAGAAATATGCATGAAGAGGACAATAACCAGGGAATAGCCTGGGGATGAAGAGAAGAAGAGAGTTTGATGGACTGTCTACAATGTCACATTACACTGATTCACTGTTTCCTGCCTGATCCTCCCTCCTACTATGTCTACCCTCCCCCGTGATGGAACTTTCCATGAACATTGCACTCTCTTTCTCTCTCTCTCTCTCGCTCTCTTAATGTGCCTCTCTTATTCATGCTTTCAGCTTCTGTTTCTCACACGCTCTGTAAGGCTATCTATCTATCTTTTGTTTTGTACTGAAAGAACCTACCTTTATAGATGCAATGTCACAACAAATTAAGTTGCCATAGGATCGATAGAATATATGAGGGGACCTCTGTCTTGTTTGCCTCATGCTCTCGTTAGTCTTTCATGTGTTACAAAACCAATTACCCTTGCAATGCTCATGTCATGCTGGTCATGTTTAAGTATTCTCTTTTTAAAAGGAAGGGTAGCAAAGACATGGATTCCTGGTTGATTTTCATTAATTTCCTGTGTTTCTCATCCAGCTTGATGCTGTCAGGGGAATCATTAATTCTAACTGTCAGCCGGGATCAAACAAATATGATCTCAAAGAGTTATGAGAGGCAGATGTGCTAAATCCTAAGGAAGGCGTAAAGAGGACCAAGACTTCCTCTAGTCATAATACTACTCATACTAATCAACACTGCTGGCTATTGCCAATTAACCAGCATTACTGTCAATTACCAATTACAATGCCAAATTTTCATCTTCCTGATAGGGTTGAGCCTTTTCAACCAGAGATTTTCAAGTTTGCATGTCGTATTGTCAATTTGGGCCAAACTTTATTTGAAATGTCCCAAGCCAAGAAATCAGATTTCTTACAGGAAAAGTCTCATCATAAAGATATTTTGGTATGGTCAATAAGACCTGTAACGTCACAAAGAAGCCTACTTTATCATAACATCATAACATGGCTACAAGAAACCAGTCATTGGCACTGGGCAAAGACTTAAGATTCATGAGGGGGCGAGCACTTCCGCTCCAAATCCAGATACTAATATAAGCTCTACAAGGATGTCATAGAATCCTTTCAACAGTAAATATGAACTGCACTTACTAAACAAAAGGGAGCATTTGCCTTTTGTTACAATTTTTGACAGATGTATGAACACACATCTTGAAGACAAAAAGCACAATGTGTGAAACCTCAAAATCTGTGCGAACGATCTGATAAGGCACTATGTAGGAGGCCATCCGTATGACTATCCCGAGAACTAATAATACACACACAAAGAAAATAGATGCCTCGATATGATAAATCCCATGGCAATGAGGGATGCTGACAACTTGTGCACAGACTGAGGCTCCAAACACAGACTCTATAAATAGCCATTGGGGCAATGACGTACAGAAGGTAGGGGATAGATAGCCTTGTGCAAAGGTATGAACAATGATCTAGTCGGTAGTATTTTGTATGAAAAGATAAGAAACTAACTGCAGGAAAAAGTGAGAGGGAGAGACAGAGACTGAGTGAGAGGAAGGAAGGGGGAACACATAGCTATGGCGGGGCTAAAAAAAAAGAAGATATTTGTGAGAGAAAGAGGAAGAGAGATTAAAAGGACAGCCCAGGTACAATGAATCTAAAATCAAACTGATATTGACTGAGGGGTGGACTAACAAACATACAAAAAGTAAGAGAGAGCAGTTGAAAGCAGAGGATTCTACTCAGAATAATAAAGTCATTCAGCAACTAAAGAAGTATGACTTTGTGTTTTGTTAGGGGGAAGGTAGTATCTAGGGAATTTATCATTCAAAGATAAGAAATTATTATTTTCTTGTTCCATACAATAGTAAGACTAGAATACAATACCCATGTCTTGATCCACCTCTAAATAAATCATGCAACTTTAAATATCATGGGCCAAAAACCAATCTAGGGCTTAGCCTATAGGGTAACGCCTGGCTGGAATGCTCCCCAGGGAGTGGAGATTGTGCACACATTGTGTGCGGGTAAGCACTGAATCCAATGACCGGGGTAATAATATATTTGTAAAGCGCTTAGAGACATTTGTATTTAGCGCTATATAAATTAAATTTATTATTATTATTATTTCTCAAACCTAAATTCCCAGTTACTCTGCAACCAGCGAAAATCCACAATTCAAAATGACCATACCTTAGATGCATCCACAGTTTGTGGCCTGTTGTCCTGTGCAAGGTGCCATGCTGGGGCGGACGCGTTGGGCGTGGTAGTAGCTAGCGATACCGGTACTGCGGTTGCAACGGCTGCTGCTGAGGAGGCAGCTATGGATACGTAGGAGGGTGCAGACATCATATGGGGCTGGCCGAGGGTGGTGCCAGGTTGGATTGGATGGTGTTGTGGCTATAGAGTAAATGCATGAGTCGCTTTGGTTACAACATGGATCTCTCTTGATACGTTACCTATTGTGTATACCAATCCCATAGAGTCAATCCGGAATGTATCAACTAGGCAAGTATGTATCTCCACAGATAAACTAACATAAACATCTTTAAAACAGCTTGTTAACTTATTTCCTTTCAAAATAAAAATTGAAAAAATTACATGTTATCTCGCCCTTCTACTTGTCTTTTATCTGGAGTTTCCGAACAATGTGCCATAAGCCATATTGGAATTTTTTCCAATCTCATTACAATTTTTGAGAAAATTACGGGGATCATTGATCAATAAAAATAGTACCAAATCAAACCAAAATGCAGAGAATGAATGAAAGATACACTTACTTGTTGTTGTTGCTGTTGTAGTTGTTGTAATTGTTGCTGTTGTTGTTGCTGCTGCTGCTGTTGCTGCTGTTGTTGTTGCTGCTGCTGCTGCTGAGGTTGCCCTTGGCCGACCTGTTGTATTTGCTGCTGTTGGGTTTGTTGCACGCTGTTCTGACCCACTTGAGGGACATGGGATGGTTGTCCAGACTTGAAAAAAGAAGGAAACAAAAAAGTCTTCAACCAACGCATGAATAAAGTATTACGCAATGTTGCAAGTCCTCAGGTTCTTAAAATCATGAAAATTATACCACTAAATAAGAATATAATTGTGACATTGCTCATTGTTTGATGAAATGGTGGTGATTGTAGGTAGCTTTACTAGCCCATTTACAATAGCAAAACTGAGGAATATGAAAAATATTATTATTTTAAAGTATAGATTGTCTACTCTTGACAACTGCATTTGTTTTGTTTGTTTGCTTTTAAAAAAAAAAATTTATAGCTTGTTTACTTCTTTTGTATTTGTTTAAAATCAAGGTTTAGCACATTTTCATATCGGATACAAAAGGTGCAGGTAGAAATTATGAAGGCCGAGATACCTGTTGAGTAGCAGGAATGCTCTGCTTAAGTACAGATGTTGTATTGGTGACTGACGCGTGTTGCTGCTGCTGGGCTGACTGTGATGGTGGCAGCAGCTGCATCTGTTGTTGTATGGGTTGTGACTGAGTTGCTTGTGGCTGCACTTGTGGTTGTGGTGCATGCTGGCTGCCACCAGACACTGTTCTTGTAACCTTAGCATGTTGATCAGAAGCTGTCCTCTGAGGGGTGCTAGGTACTTGGGACGGTTGCTGCAATGGCTGTTGTATAGGTTGCTGCAAAGGTTGCTGGATAGGTTGTTGTGGGAGTTGTCCCTGGCTTACAGATTGCTGATAAGCTTGGCCTTGGGGGAATTGGGTATAGTTTGCTGTCTGCTGCACAAACTAGAAGAAACAAAAAAGTGTATATAAATAAGATATGACATTCAATGTAGTACAGTCGATTGCAGATTAAATCAACAACTACGAGAAAGAAGAAAGTTGGGAAGAAATGTTTATTTTGGAAATTTTAGAGAACTCCAAGCAACTAATTAACTCCACCTATATTTTAAATTCAACTACAAACAAAATTAAGTACGCTGATTTTCTATCCATATACTACAAGCATCAAAGGTTCATAGACTAAAAAGAGCTGAGAGATGTTCAAGCAAGCTTCACTATCATATGATTACACTTGACCTACAATGAACATACAACATTTCCTATCAAGGAATTTGTTTTGACTTTCCTTTGGTTATTGCATGCAAAAAAATGTATTCTTCCAGACAATTTCAACTACAATTCCATAAAAAATGAACTTTTTATTCAAACTTCTAGTTATCATATGATTTCAAAATGTAAAATGGAATATATATCAATGTATTGCTTATTTTAAGTGATATTAGGAACATAAGAATGCCATTAGCTAGTCCTGAATTAATAAACATGAACTGACTTGTTTCAAACAGAAATAAAAACCCAAAAGTTATGAGAGAGAAAACAGAGATCGGTATCTAGAGACTCTTCTAACTATAAAATATTGTGTAAATATATTTCTTATTCATTAAAATTAGATAAACATGTAAAGTACATGACATTATAATTTTATGCATTTTAAGACCAATGTTTTGTTAGAATGTTCAACTGCTAATGACAGAAGTGGAAAATAAAAGTATTTGTTAATACAACGAAAATTCATGTACAGCAGTGATCCAGTAACATTGATAAAACATTGTAAAGTATATTGATATCACTGATACCCTTAACAGCATCTCTCAAGTATACAACTGCTGGTAGTTTCCCTTACAAGGAAGTCATCTATTAACCCCTGTTACCGTTTGTTTTAGTGTAATCTTATGTTTGCAAATTTAAGTCTTCGTGGAAAATTTGGATCCTGAAATGGAACAAAATCCCTATCAAAATCAGTGACTATGTTGTCATGAACAACAGATACATGTATTAATCACATATTACGATTACATCACCTTTCCTGGAAAAAGCCTTTACTATTTCTCATGGCTCTTGCCTTTTGAAATCCATAATCTGTAATGTAACAGTGCTTTTAAGAGCTGGAGAAAAACATATTAACGTCAAAGCCTTGGGATAGTCCAGGCCATTCCCATGCTAGTTTAGTTTTACTTCTACAAGATAAATTCCATACTACCAAAAGTTTCTTGACCTGGAAATGGTCTCATATAAATCAAAGATCATGTTTTTCTTCCTTGTTTGATAAAGACGGGAACCACATACATGTATAAGGTATTAATGACCCTCGCTATCTGTCTTCCCTTCCTAATCTTTCTAAAGAGAATCAACAAATACAATTTTGTCACATCATACTGCCGTCTCCTTTGATTTAGCCCTATCTTTCACATAGCCTAACACCTGTGTAACAACCTCAAGGTTGTCTCCACCAAGCTTATAAAGGGGAGGGTGGGGTGTTCCATCAACCCAGCATTGGTTGCTGGTATGGCAAGGTGAGTTTCAGTGCTTTACTAACTACATTTTTCTCCCCCTCTGATTCATAATGCCCAATCTGTCAGGTTGGGCAACAGTGACGAAGAGGCACATGTGAAAGAAGGCTGCTCCTTAGTACTCACCACAAGTTCCACAACCCTCAACAGTTTAACAAAGATCAACTTACTACAGACTGGGGAATTATAGAGCTTGCCAAATGTAATTGAAGCATTCTATTAAAGACGTTCATGCTCAAAATGCCTTTTGTACATGTACTTCAATAATGGGTACTTGAATTCCTTCTTTTTTTTTTAATAATGGGTACTTGAATTCCTTCTTTTTTTTCTAATTGCTTCAAATTAAACAAAAAATAAGGTAACACTAGAAATTAATAACGATTAAACAGCCACTTTTCTTTGTTATCTTCCATATTTCAATCATCAGGATATGAATTTGAATAAATATGAACAACTCTATGAAATTCCTGTCGTAAAATTGAAAGAATAATTTCATTTTAATGGGATCCGGTAACTTTGTCTTAGATCCTTTAGAAATAATCCTTGATTTAGCTCATGCTGCAATGATAATTATAAACCTTTAGGTCAGTCAGGAACTCCATGACTTTTACAAGCCGATCGCCTGTCTGATTATCAAGATATTAATGATTGGAATTACAAATTTTGAAGACCGTTCGCTGAGGCACTTCTTGATCATGTTGAAGCGCGATTTTTTGAGGGCTTCAATATTACACCATATCAGAGACACTAGTACATGTAGGACCATGTATCTCAGATTTAACATTGTTAAACGATCCCTTTAAGAAAAAGATGAACGTTCCTTTGAAACCGCATGGAAAAGAAGGAACCTTCAGCTTTTGCAAAGTCAGCTCTATGATTTTGCAGCCAAAAGCAAAAAGCATGATGTAACTTTTATTTCAAGATACAAGGGAGATCTACCTCTAGTGTCTTCCCAACCCTTTGCACTGCCCCCTATCTTTCACCTCACCGCACGGCCCACACACTCTTCAAGAAGAGGTGTGCTGAGGCGACAACTCCCTAAATGCCAGGTCCCATGAGGGGGGCAAACTATATGTTAACTCATGTGCATGTGCTATTGAGCAAATAGTCATGTCTGGAGAGAGGAAATGTCTACATTGCCGAGACTGACATGCTCAAACTGAACCTCAGTCAACACTTGTTCATGTAAAACCACTGGCGTTACTGGTGGTGGGGGGCTGGTGATGAGGGGCTGGTGATGGGGGCTGGTGATGGGGGCTGGTGATGGGGGGAGGTGGTACATACACCTCACCTGGACTCCTCAAATAAACTTGTGTGATTCAAACACCTTCTTCCACCCACCCGCTCACCATTCACTTCAAACCGAAACAAATATATACAATGTTTCTGGGTTTAATCAACACAGAATACTGTAAACTACATTATAAAACTTCTCAAATAATCCCTATCTTCAAAGACTCATTTTGTTCTGGTTATACCTCTGTGAAGGGACATATTAATTGCATGCTTCATACAAGCCTCTTTCATGTTTGATTGTCACCTTGTCATATTGACTAAAGACCACACAGAAATGAAATGACAATATGAAATGTCACCAGAGGGAGGTACGTGTAGCATGTTTCCCCTCTGAAAATCTAGCATGTTACTTATTAATATATTTTTATGAGAGAGAGAGAGATGAGTCAAATACTTCTTGAGATAGCTAGAATAGAAGTCTGCAGAAGATATTTTATACACTAAGCTAACTAATGCAGAATGAATATGCATACATGCCAACATTTGAAAATCAGAAATCTGTACAAATTATGCTATTTTCAAAAAAAAGAGGAACAATCCTAACTCTCCTATTCAATACTACAGACAAATTTGTACAGGAAGAGGAACACCTGCATTAAAATGATAATTATCTTCTCCCAAAAAGAGGAATGTTCCTCTTTAATCTGAACAGTTGGCATGTATGAATATGTACACTTAAGAGCCTAGATATAGATTCATATAAATGCTGTAAATAAAGTGGAATCCTAGATGAAAAGACATCCATGTATCTAGTTATCCAGTACTAATCACTGATTTTAAGAATTTACAGTTTGAAGAAAAAAATTGATGAATAAATCACATTCTACTATGGATACAATGTAAAAAATCAACTTTTCAATGACACTATCATTACTTTGTTATTTTACTATTTCTTCATCTAACTTAGATTTCATTCTATTATATACAGTTCACAACTAAATTATTCATAGGCTTAACAATTTTTGTAATTTTGTAAAAATTGATTTGTCCAGATTCATACTTCTTGAGAATGTGACATAATAAAGCATACATCTAAAAGTATTCAGCAAAGGCCCATATTCAACCAGTCCACCTTTATTTCTTCAGTTATGAAAAGAAAAAGGAAAAAAAAAAAAATCAAATTCACAAGGGGTATGAATAATTTAGTTGTTAACTGTACGCTTTAAGTTCACTTCTGCATGAAATTCAATGCCTGCATAAGAAAAAACATAAAAAGTATCAAAAGTATCATATGTGAGTGAAAACAAAAAGTATTAGGGTTAAACAAAATCATTTGAAGTTACAGGGATGAGAATTAGGCAAAGGCAACACAAATATATGCTCTGACTATACAGCGGCAATCAGTATGGGCCAACACCAAAAGAACATTATGCAAATGTTATCAATCCCAAAAGCTGCATGTAAAGGCTTGATGCTTTATAGCATAAGCAACCAAACGAAGGAATAGAATCAACATGCAAATTAGAAAAGTTCATGCCATTAAAAGAAAGTGAAGACAACTCTGGACAGATCAATGATTGCATGAATGCCACGCCTTACAGGGAATCTAAAGGACATTTCAAAACAGAATGTTATGTTTGAGAGAGATGGAAAATTTATAAAAAAACTGCTTGATGTTGTAGGATTCTGACTTTGGCTTTATGTCGGAAAGAGTCTACAATCTTCCTGTTATTTTCTTACTACTGACCTTTATTAATAGCACTAAACTGTCCTAGGTTTCCTGTAAACACTTCCACAGAAATGATTATATCAATGTAGGCCTACTCTATGCATTTGCACTAGGTGGTTTGTATATGAAGTATTTGATTCAACGTAACTATGGAATTCTTTGAATTTGATAATGTAAAGATTATCAGCCAAATTGAAATGTGTGCCTGTGAATGGCCATTCTACAATAAAATTGTAATGACATCAGATGAATTTTGATAATACTGTTCATAATGTTTTTCTTACAACATTCAAAGGGAGAGATGTGGAAAAAGAATGGAGGAGAAGTAGAGACAGATAGGTGAATTTAGAAGGATGACAGAGACAGACACAGAGAGAGAGAGAGAGAGAGAGAGAGAAAGAAAGAGACAGAGACATAGAGAGAGAGAAAGAGAAAGAGACAGAGACATAGAGAGAGAGAAAGAGAGAGAGAGAGAGAGAGAGAGAGAAGGGTGGAAATAAAGGATCAATGAATATTAGTGAGTTGTCAAGTTTACATATACCCTGTGAAAAAAAAAATATATATATATACAGTGTATGCTATATGTATGTGTATGAATGATAAAAAATGTATTCATAATATATTTCAAGTGTTCTTAATAGAGTTCTAAAGGGGAAGACAAATATATTCAGATGCAATTAGAAGTTACTTGAAAGTGTCAAATTATGATAAATATTTGGTTGTATTAGAGATTGAATGAGTTACATGTACATGTATATCTGTAGCTAATAAATGTAGTTCAATAAAATCTGAAAAGTAATAAACCTGGGGTTGCTGATAAAACACAGGAGGAGACATCGGAACAAACCACGACAGGGATGAATGTTGACCATTCATGGAACTCGAGGGGCTCTGAAAAATATTTCATACAATTAGAAAAATATCAAGTAATTCAATATTCGATACAAGATTAATATTAGCTGACATGATTATATAAGCTTAGAATTACTAGTTTCCATACACTTTTATTTTTCTATCATTCATAGAATGCATGCCAATGCCCCCAATGCCGCCAAATCAAAAAGTTTACAGACATAAACAATTGTCCTGATCTGACAATCCTCCCTAATAAACATAAACTAACCCAAATTGTAATTACAATTCAGAGATAAAACGTGTTCCAAGGGCACATAGAATACTCAATCAAGCACTAATTTGCTAACTTCCTACTTTTATCCACTGAAAACTTAGAAGTCCTGACTTTGTTTAAACTGAAAGCAGTATGTATTTTTTTGATGCAGTGTTTCTGACTTTGGTTGCCATGACTTCACAAAATCATTAATATTTCATTTTGAAGTATACAATAACTTCTTTGTATTCTTTGAAAACTTTTCTTGATACACTAACAAGTAAAAACTGATGGTTGAATGGGAGACATATTTGCGTTGGAATACCATGCAAGAAATGATGTGTGATCCGAACAATGACCAGTCACTGGTCAGAAAAAAAAGGGCGTTTTTTGTTGTTGTCTTTTCACAGAAATTGGCATGCCTCCACAGGGTGACACGTGGGCGACAAACAACAAACAAAAGTGAAAAATGGGACATTCTGTCATAATACCTTACCAAAATAAAATTATTCATCGTAATGTAGGGACTTAAGTCCTTGGTACATCCATGTGCATGATCATGAAGTAGCATTCATGCTTCATAGATACAAATCTACTTGATTACCATGTCAAGCACTGATGTCATAAGTTTAATCTCTAATACACATCCATGGAAAATTTTGACACAGATTTGATCTCTCCGCTTGATTAAGGGGGGGGGGGGGAGCTGACAAAGAAACGGTGCTTTTGGCAAACCACAACATAGGCCTTTTGATGTACAGGTAGTATCATCAACCTTCAACTTCACAAAGTATCAGGTAGTACGATAATCCAATCATACATGCAAAATGCCAGCCTTATTAGTTCAATGAAAGATGGATCAACAAGAGGAAGACCCATTTTCTACATGGACAGGCTGGATAGGCAAGAGGGGCAGTATCAATATTGCCTTTAACTAGATTCATGCTCTCAATTACTCATTTATCTGATACACCTATATAGTTGGATCATAGCCAAAAGAGGTTCATGATAAAACACATTGTTTTCTGATCTCTGTATCAATAATACCTGCCTTATATGGGACAGACTTGGCAACTTTAGCAGAGTTAGTGGGGAGGTAAGAGGTGGGAGGTAGAAAAAATGACAATGATGTCACTCTCATGCAAAACAAAAAGTCATTTCATTCCTATCTTACTACCGTATCACCTACCCCTTTCAGAATTACTGCAAAAAGTGAATGCAAATTAGATTTAAGTACAAAAAACACCCGAATGTACTAATTGGTGCACAATATCTAAACCAATCCTTCTACGTGAAACTATCCTTCCTTATTAAATGTGAATCTTACAGGATACTTATCCCTCTGCTTATAGTTTATGGTTGAGTAAAATATGTTATTTCTGTGTTTGAAAGAATCACGTAAAGCTTCTTTCATGTACAACTCGGTGAATAACTTGTTTATAACACTTGCTGACAACCAATGAATCTGTTTTTCTGGGCCCTGTTTCATTAAAAGACTTACAAGTTACAATCAGTTTTGAAATCAACACATTTGATTTGCTATTTTTCAATTTTGTCATACATCTTAGGATGTTGTTTCTGATATTTTGTATTTAACTGGGCCCTATAATCCTAAAAACAAAGAAGAAAAAAAAACCTCCCCTGCAAAAAAGGATCAAGTATTTATACTTTCACTCACCTTCCATGATTTATAATACACAGTGCAAGTGTACAGTCCAAGAGTTAACATGTAAATCATTTTGCCAACTCCAGCATGATCACTATCACAAAATGTCACCTAAATACCATATCTCATGTTTCCTTCACTAAGTTTTGAGCTTGGGAGGTGATGTTACTAGGATTTTATACCTTTAGGAATTGCACCAGGTCCCCTAAAACACCACCACATGAGGGAGACACAACAGAACTATGGTAGTAACCCCAGATAACCCATGAAGCCTAACACCGTTGCGTGGCTCCGTGGTTAACCTTGGAAACAAACAGTTTCTGGCAAAACTATCTGCACCGATATCAACTTCCCTCCAATGAAATGTGTTTAAGTAGATACGGTGGACACCAGCTATTGGAAATCCGTCTGTCTTTGTAAAACACAGGATAGGAGCACACTTGAAGATTGTCACGTGGTACACTCAGAGTACATTATCACCATTAGGTGGTCTAATGGTGTGTTGACTCAGGGAGCCAATATGTCCTTGGTGTTGTGTTGACTATTGTCTTTGAGAGTGCTGCAGGTTTCCCCCTCATATCCGCCAACCAGTGACGGGAAGTTTTTTTGTCAGATTAGCCAAGTGCAGCTGGAAGGGTCTGGCGCGTGCCATCCTGATCTACATCAATGTTGTTTCCTACATATACGAATGCCTTTGGATTATGGTGCCTGACCGATTAACCTTCACTTTATGGACCATGTAATCAGTGTCTGATCAATGTCATGTAGCAACATTTATATTACACAGTATGAAACTACTACAGTCTTGTCATTAATATAAGACAGCCCTTATCAGATAATAACCTTAATAATCCCATTATCCATTCATGTTTTATAATGTACAAATCCAAAGGAAATGTGATCTCTTTTAATCAGGGTAGTTTCAACAACTTGACACTTCTATCAATACTTGAAATCTTTCAACAAGAAGACTCAATTAAAAGCATTTTCACTCTTACAATTGTCAAGAAATTGTGTGCATTATTTTACATCAGCTTGAATACCATGTGGCTGTAATCAAGCCCTAGCTGTGAATGCCCTACTTTTCTTTTACCAAGTGCATAAAATTCTCCTCCCCTTTTATACTTTCATACCATAACTTTTCTAACTTTTGGTAGTAATTGTATAAATTCAGAATAAAAACAAATCTGTTGCCTATAATTATCATGGAGTGTTTCAGGATGTTTAATGACAGTCATAAGGCTAGACATAAAATGCAGCAATAAGATGACTGTGCGATGACACAGTCGATGTAGCAGTCCAACGTGTAAACTTTTTAGAGGGCCAAAGCATGAACGTGTAACTGGGGAACAAAGTTGTTTAGGAACAGTAGCTTTCCAGCTTCACTGACATCACCCAAAACATATTTGACAGAGCAGTACACCACCCTACAGACTGAAGGTCACATTGCAAATGTCCTATCATCCTCTTGCCAGGGTTCCGTTTGTATCATCATGATCACTCATAAAAGTACTCTAACCTCAACAATGGTTCATCTACAGGTTACCTACAACAACATTGTTTTTTTACCTTTCTTTAATCCTTACCCCTAAAATACAATTTGACTTTGGCAATGGGAGTTTTATTTTCCTTCTCCTCCCCCTACTGTGATTGACACAATTTAAGACACAAAGGCGATGCCAGGGGGGGGGGGGGGGTGCCAGTTATTCCTTTTTTTATTGCTAGGTTCCCTAAAGAGGCTAAGCATTGACCTATTTCTAAAACATTCATATAAGTCATGAAGTCAATATCAAACCATTTCTTAATAATTGCATTCAGCATTTTTTACAGATCTATTTTGTTAAGAAGTTTCTTCTGTTTACATGAAAGAGTATGACGAAATTTTCAATAAATTCAAATCAATGCACAATAAAACAGCATGCATTCTCTTTTGAGGCTCATGTTTGGAGGTTCATATTTGCCTAAATCCCAGACATCGTTATTATCGGTGACTGCTCACATACTGTACATGAAAGGGGTGTGGCCTCTCACTTGTTATTACAGCACATCACAATGAAAAAACAAAGCTTGTTATGTATCCTGTGAACATTCTATGGTAAGCTGATTGTTATATCGAATGATTTTCATGAGATGTTATCTCCTCTTATCATTTTTAACAGGATGAATGTACTTTCAGATGTTTCCGCTCTTTGTGGTATTACAGGTACCAGTTCTTTTTTATCTCTGCTTTATGGAAAAGGGTATGTAAGCTATGGTTGCACATGAACTTCATTTTTTGCTTATTGTTCTTTTTCTTTTTTTCTCCAAATTACCTTGAATTTTAACACCATCCTCTGACCCTATCCCCCTCCCCCAACAAAAAGTACTTTTATTATGTTGTTATCATAGTCATTACATTACCTCCTTACCCTATGTTCATTACAAAATCACATTCTTACGGAAACTTGTTAAAAAGCTAGGAAGAAACATGAAAACTTGATACTTGATCAATTACTTACAAAATTCAATATTTTCCAAACGTATTGTAGAATTCAACAATAGACAAATCCTAAGACTCCTACCCCCATTTCGTCTATTCCTAAATTCTCAAATTGTGTGCTATTGTCAATTTCTATTTATTTTCGGTATCACATCATATACTGGGTTTTAAGGATGAGCCAGACGTTGAAAACAAGTTCGGCTACTGTCAACTTCAATTGAACAACCTTCAGACCACCCAGAGCAACAAAGGGGGTACTCTGCACAAACAACTGTCTAATCCATAGATGTTGCTATGTCATGCCTTGTAATATCTATCTTTGAACCTGTCTAAAAAAGAGGTTCTCAAAACAAGAGCGAACTTGACCTTGTGAATATAAACACTTGTCTTCAATAACAACACATGAAGAGCTGCCTGGCTTATGTTGTTGTTGGGTTTTGTTTGTTTGTTTTTTCAAATTTATTTCCATACTCTATACAGAAATAAAATATGGTGCAAAGAAAAAAACAAAATGGTAATAATTCCTACCATTTGATAGGTACATTTCCAAATGAGATAACTGACCTTTTATCTCTCTCATGCATGAAAGGTACAACTTCTAACATCTAATTTAGATATATTCAAAGGATTAGGTTTGTTCACCTAGGCTACAAATAAATAAACCTTCAGTCCCATGCAGGTCATGCAACCAAAACATCAGAGTAAAAAACAAAATATCCAAAACTAAATGAAAAGTAGAGTAACAGAAATAAGGTTAACACAATACCTGTTGGGTTTGAGCTTGTTGCTGCTGCTGTTGCTGTTGGGATGGTAGGGACTGTGGCAGCTGGGTTGGCACCTGCACCTGGGCCTGGGTTTGTACTGGTTGCTGAACAGATTGCTGTGGTTGTGGCTGCAGCTGAGATTGAGAGTGAGGGGTTGATTGTGGTTGCTGCTGCTGCTGTTGATGCTGTGCTTGGTGTTGCTGCTGTTGTTGTATTTGATGTTGTTGTAATTGTTGTTGCTGTGGAGGCTGCTGCTGTATTTGTTGAGGCTGACTCTGTAATTTAAAGAAAAAAATAAACATGTACAGGAAATTAAATGGATGACAAGTGAATTCTAGACTTAATACATGAACAGAGCTGCCAAGTTGTATTTTGCATTTTCAGTATTCTTATCCCCCAAAATCAGTATTTTTTCTGTGTGAAAAAATATGCATGTATATCGGCAATGTTCGATCACTTATTCCATTTCTGTCCCACATGTAAACAATTGTGTTGTACTAGATCTACACTACTGTTAATCTCTGTGTATAAAACACACTTTTTTGCCGCCGAAAAAATTCAAAGTCGGGGGTGCGTCTTTTACACAGATACAAAAAAAAAATTAAAGTTTCGATTTATGTCCCTTCACTTGGCGCTATGCCTGCCAATGTCTCCCAGCTCAGTAATCGGTGTGTTGACTCACCACTCGGAAACTAGAACAACACTCAAATTTATCTGTCATCTTGGTTTGAAAGTAATCTTTCTGATAGATCTCAATATGAAGTTTAAAATAACAATTCCTCCAATTTTTCTTCTATTACACATGGCGTACCACAAGGTTCTATCCTAGGTCCTTTACTGTTTTTTTTAATTTTACATTAATGATCTTACACATTCAACTGCACCTCGCATTTAAATGAAAGTCCTTCCCGCGTGGGTTTTTTTTTAACACGGACCTGTCGACAACAAAAAAACGATCCCCCCCCCCCCCCAGTATTTTAACATGAAAAAAAAACGTATGTCCGTATTTTAAGTTGATTTCCGTAAGGAATACGGCATATCCGTACTACTTGGCAGCTCTGCATGAACGACGTGTATGGTTCCTGTAAGGAATGGGTTGAAATCCAGATTTCACTTCAGATAATAAAAACATACAACAGTTGAAAACAAAAATACATAAAAAGCTGCAAGACAGCTCAAAAGTATTGATTGGAATTTGAGATGTCATGTCATCAATTCACTGAATGTTTTATGCAGCTCTTACATGCCCTTAGTGATGTCCCTAAATACACAAACTGCAAGTTAACATTAAGGGTAACTGGAGCCAAAACAAACACACCTTGTGTCTGTCTTGCAATTTACTTGCTGCCTCTGAAACATCCATATGGTGAAGAAAGAAAACAAACACTGTACATGCACTTTTCTTTAATGATTTTTCATCTCCCAAACACAAGTCTAGACCTGTGTTTTAGGTTGACAGTTTGGGCGGCTAACAACTGTCCTATTGAACATTGTGCACAGGGTGAGTAAATTGGAACAGACCAGTGTACACAAAATGTGTGCTCAGAATAAACTCTCAAAGGTTTGATTTGTAAATTCTCTTTTTTTCATCATTCAATTCTTTTATCACTTCTTAAAAAAAAAGTGCACATCCGTTAAGTTTGCTAACATTTTTAAACAGTGTTGGCTGAAGTGCTTTATAAAATGTGAAAATGTCTTTCTTAATGTGTACAGCATAAGCACCGGGTAATAGAAAGCAGGAATTGTATTAAAGATGGGGATAAACTTGGACCCATTGCGAGTTTAAAATGAAGATAACGAATCAAAAGAAAATGAAAATAAACAGATATCCAATGAGTGATTATATAAACAGTAGCATTGTATACATGTAAAGAAAAAAAAGAGTAACCTATAAAAAAAAGATACTCAAGACAAAGCACTTCTCATTCATCTAAACACTAAACTATAAATTCATAAGAGTGATATGTTAGAATCACATTTTTCTTTAAATAGCAAAAACATGCTTCAGGTATTAAATGTAATTGATCCATATTCAAGTTGGGGGAGGGGGTGTTCTGAACTCCATACATAATCCCAACCATACCCTATTAAAACAAGGAACAAACATGTGTATATTAAGGAGAAATTTCAAAACATAAAAATCTATATGAATGATAAATGAAGAATATCTCTCTTTATCATTACATTACAGAAATAAAAGTAAAGTACCTAAAAGACATTTAAAAACAAACAAGGAAAAATATGCAGTATAATCTTTATAAGACCTTTTTAAAATATTTCTGGTTGAATGGATCTAAGCCAAGTTTTAAAAGCATTAATAAAGAAGTCCAGTTAGTTTAACCAACCTCATTCTTTTTCAAATACATTTGAAGAAATTGTGTACAAAGTCACACGTAGGCAGCTTCAAATAGACGGCAGAATAATGAATTACAGTTAATGAATCTTTGTTTCTCACAAATAAAGAAATGGTACCAAATAATTCAGGTCTGTAAAATAAGTCTGCTGTAAATTTCTTTAATGGTGCTTCGCAGAGCCTCCAAATGAGTCTAACTACACTTGATCTATCTAATCTACGTTTTCTCTGAATTACACCCACAGTTGATGAGTAAATGTTGTTCTTTAGAAGTTAAAGGAGAATATGCTTAGGCCTACATCCTCCTCCATCCAGCCCCTAAGTCTTCAGATTATTTCCCATAATGGATTTCATGTGTGCAATTATGCATCTCATTCTTTTCATTTGAAGGTGCTGTCTGGGTCTGCGGATAGGCAGCTAAAGATCTCTCTTCCGTGAAACCCTAGAGCTTATCGTTTAGCTTGAAAAGTGAAAAGCATCTTCTATGCATTTGCTTGAACTTGAAGCCACTCCCTTGTACATCCATCCAGGGTTGGATGTTAAACTCTGGTTAGTATGTCTCCTGTGGTAACATGGCAGGGTAGGTACGCCTATCAAGTTCAACTCCTCCTGGAGGAAGTCACCTTTTACATCTAGGAACATTAATCATCCTAACCGCATCTCAAATATTAAACATCAGTAACCTAGGAAGGGGATCAATTGATATTAGTTCCCCTGCGGACTAGGAATGCCTGCGTCCAACCAAGGAGTTACCATCACTCCTTGGTCCAACCAGGAAATACTGCTTTCCATTTCTCACTCTTTGATTAGATTCAAAACGAAGGTTGCTAGATAGCCAGATCAATCGTCTTTTCGAATCTTTAAATAAACATGCACCTCAAATATCATATAGTTTAGCATAGCACACTAATGCCATGTGCATCATCGCAGAGTGCATGAGAGACAATCTGTCATGTCTGCAGCCTTGCAGCCCAATCTACAAATGTGCATTGATCAATGGGGGATTGCATCAAAGGCATAAACTGAAACGTGTATATGTTATGATTCTAGAGGTAAAACGTAAACCCAGACGTAAAGCAATAAAAAAAAAGGAGGGCTTAGCTCTGAGGCAAGCAGATTTGTCAATATATGACTCACGATGCAAATATGCACGTCTATCTCAAGGACTGAATAGGATTATGTGATCAGTCTACAAATAGATGGGACGACACAATACAGATGTAATAAGTGCTGTGTTACCGCGGCCATACCAATTATTCCTAAGAGAATGATAAAAATTCTTTTACACCTTAATATTCAGCCTCTAGAGTTCAAATGTATGTCTAACATCTAATGGCTTGTTACGGCTTCAACAATCATTGAATTTTTACACACAGCATTTTCTTCTGTACAATAATGTTCTGAAATGCAGCATATCCACACACACACACATACACACATACACGCATTGCATACAGCTGAAGCTGGAAGATGAGTGGGAGGCACACGTTGTACACTTGAGGGCATGCCGCTCGATTGAAATACAGTAGACAATACAAATAATAAAATTGTTTACCCAGTGAAATCTTAAAGTGGGTCAGAGTTACGAGTCCAAATTACAATAGGTAGACCAATATCCCGATTAATTATAAATCATGGTGTTAGTGAAGTGAATATGTCCATCACATGTGTTGTTTGCAGCTGTGTTGAAACTCACTCAATAAAATGTTCATATGTAAGATGCTTCTACGCAAACAACACATTTAAAAAATAAATGCTTTAAATCATATTTTTGCGTTAATATGTGAAGCATTAATATAAAAACAACAGAATTAATTTCATCTTTTCAAGATAATCATCATATTCAAATATTTTAATTGATAAAGAAAGCTATTTACCTGTTGTTGGGCTGGAATTGTAGGTTGCTGCTGCACATTGGAAATAGGAGGTTGCTGAGCTGATGGCTGCATGGGTTGTTGCTGAGCTTGATCCTGCTGTGGTAGAACAGCAGTGGTAGACGGTTGCTGACTAGACTGAGATACTAGTTGGGGTTGAGAATGGGTTTGAGAGTGGACTTGTGGTGGTAAAGGCTGCTGGACAGATTGAGGTGGCTGCATCACAGGTTGAGACTGAACCTGTTGAGGTTGCTGCTGTTGCTGTGGCGGCTGTGGCTGCTGTGGTTGGCCCTGCTGCTGTTGGACTTGCGGAGTTGCTACGGACTGTTGGGAAGAGGGCTGTTGAGTTTGTTGTGGGTGAGATGGAACCTGTTGTTGCTGAATTTGAGATTGGCTATGAGGTTGTTGGCTGATGGGTTGTTGTGTTGATGATGAATTCTGTACTTGACTGGACACCAGTCTTGTAGAACCTTCAGAAGCATTCGACATTCCAGTTAAAGACAACCCTGAAAAACCCATTCCACTATCTGTGGTTGAGGTTCCAGCATCTGCTGTGCAAAAATAAAATATATGACAGAATATGAAGCAAAATATTAAAAAAAAACTATACTATCTTCTTAAAACCATTTATTAAATCGGACGGGGGGGGGGGGGGGTTATTACTTTCTAAGACAATTAGCCTCTAAAATTCATTAATGTCTGTTGTAAAAAAAAAATTCTACATGTACATGTAGGTAGGAGTGGGGCTACCAACATATTTTTACATAGAATTTCTGATCTAAACACTTTCTCCTTGAGGTTCCAGCATATGCTTTGCAAAAATAAAATATATGACAGAATATGAAGCAAAATATAAAAGACTATACTATCTTCTTAAAATTGTCATTGTTTTCATTACACTTCACAATGATTAGTTTTGTGAAATTAACATTTCTGTGGACAAATTCAGTACTTCTTTTTGAAGGTAACAAAAGAATTTCTTACATATCATAAGGTTTTCCATAACTTGTCATTACCTATGAGTTCTGTTTTTTGTTTGTGTAATTTAGAAGCTATATCATCTTTCCATATCACCAAATACAAACATTCTAAAATTGTTTTAAAGGTAAAGACCAGTTATGGTCATGCGATTGCATTGTGAAAGAAACGTTGTGGAATCGATCAGAAAAGGTTGATCATCTAGCATCCGCATCTGCAAGGTTCTGGAATCATCAAAATGATAAGAAAATTGGCCCATTCTTTGTAAAGTTACAAGCACTATACACAGAAAGATGTATATGGGACAACCCTATATCTCTCACAGACCATGAGAGAAATAAATTTACCAAATATATCAATAAGTAGGCGGTTTCCCGGCAAATTTTTTATCATCATGTATTAGTCAAAACATATTCTTTCACATGATTGGTAATGAGAGCTTCCATTTCATTTTTTGAAATATGGGCATTTCCAATACTGGTCTTTACCTTTAATAATCTTCAACAATTTAACAAACTAACCTTACATTTTCAGATGCACAACTGGACTTACTTCTAAAAAATAGAAAAATGTGTACTATCATTGTGTGATTATTTCTGTATAAGTACCTTTGCTATCTTTGTCTTCTTCCAGCTTGCCCTTCTCTTGCCTCTCCTTCTCTCGCTTTTCTCTGTTCTTCCATACGGTACCGATGCGGTCTCTAATCACCTTGGTAACAGCCTTCGAGTCCTCTTCACTCACAAAGCCAATGCGTACCTAGATGCAAAAGGACAAATCAAAATACTTGCATCAGCCCTTTTCCCAATCCTGAAACGATGATTTACAATAATTTTAAAATCATACACGTTTCAGAATATATCTGGCAGGATTGCTCATTATAAAACAAGCCTTCATGCTACATGTATGTCATATAAATAACTGGTGTTTATTTAAAGTAAGATTAAATTCACTTAGAAAAACAATTCATAAACAACTCGTAATCTATAAAGAGGATTCCTTTTCCTAGTTTATTCACTTGTAGTTACATGTATATCTCAACTCAAATTTCAAAAAAGAGAATTATAACATGAAACAATTAATGACGATTAATCTTCTCCAGTTGAAAAAAAATTCAACTACCTTTGAAAGCAATTTTATTATCATAAGGAATATTACATCCAGTATGCCTGGAACATAAATGCACAAGCATATCATAAATAGAGACTTTCAGTTTCCATTCTACATCTTCAGCAGAAGCAAAGTCTTCCATCTAGACTTGTCTGATGCATAGACATGTATCTGAATTTCTAAACCAACTCTGTATGACTCAGAATATTTCTTTGAAGAAGAATAAGTACTCCATACATATACTTAGACTCACTCTCTCTCTAAAAATGATGATGAATAGAACAGATCCCTAATGCAATTATGGATTCAAAACAGAAAGAAAATGATGAAGATCTGAAACCTTTCTGAATCATAATAAATGAGTAGTGCTCGTGCAACTTCGCAATATCAGTGAGAAACTGGAAATTTGCACTTTTGTATATTATACTCATCACAACATTTTCATAGCTAATAGACTTCATGCATCAAAGAAATTTCAACACAATTTGAGTGCGCACATTTTTTTGTTTTTGGTTAGAACAAATTTCATTTACTGTATTTGTATTCCCATCTGCATGGATCTGCTGCATACAATAAAGTGAATTACATGAATCCCTTTAAAGAGGATGTCATCCCAACATCAGACAGAATAATTCATGCAGAAAAGCTACTTCATTATTCATTTCAAAGTCATAACTTGTCTCGTGACATTCATGATTAATGTGTCCTTTAGGACCCAACTCGTGGGCTTTTGCCACCCAATAGTATACAGGATTACATACACTGAGTGCACACGGCTTATAAGCCACACACCCACTAGTCAGGCTATTTAAGGAAATTGGAAATGAAGGTAGGGATTAACCGCAGAAAAACATGAGATTACCACTATGTTGCCTACTAATTCACATTTCTCACTACCTGCGGGTATGGTTTCCACTGAGTTCATACAAAAGCAAATTGGTGTAATTTTAAATAATTTTCTTGAGACAAATGTAATTTGAATGTTACCATCTTGTGGCTACGCCTTCCTCTAAATGAAAGGACATTATTGCACTTGGGAAACATCCATCCTATCATGTGTGTTTCTTTATTAAGCTGACGTGTACATGTACCTTTGGTCTTAAACCTATATTTCAATGGATGCATCTTGTAAAGAAAGAAATTGTAAAACAAAATTAGGGGCACAAATAGTGATGTATCCAGTCTTCTTTCCTCTATTCCATTCATTAACAATAATACCGTACTTGATTAATTTTTTTAAAGAAAGGAAATAATCTTGAATCTTGAAGGTACATCAACATGTATCACACTACATAGATGGAGTCCCTGCTCACTATCTCTTAACATCCAGTTCATCTCTATGATGCATTGCCATCTATTTCTATTTTTTTACAGGACCCGGGCCAAAAAAAAAGGTACGACGTTCATCCTGTTTGGGGCATACAGTTTTCCCCTGTCAGGCAGAGGATAAACAAGTAGTGACACATGATTTCAACAGGACAGACTGATTCAATGCCTCCGCGCGCCACTGGAGACCACAGTGCACAACAAGGTATGAGGCCAATGTTTGACAAAATACAGTAGCCTAGAGGTAATAAGACATCCTTCTTTCCAACCTGAAGAAAGCACACAGCAAGCACAGAATACCTGTTTGTTTCGGGTTCTTATGTGCATAACATACAGTAGTCAAAGCTGTTCGATTTTAATATTGTTAACGTTAAATTGATTAATGATTCTTTGTTTTAGAATGATGTACTAGTATTGCAGTTGTTGGATGATAGGACTACCACACATGCTTATTTATTCAACATAATCATTGTTTGTAATGAGCATGAATGACATGAATGGTGCTATACAAATAAAGGAGAGGCCCCTTTGATATATTCATATCATTTTGCACTTTATTCTTTCTTTAATAATTAACTGACGAGTACCGGTACATGTATTTCCACCACTTTGATAGAAAACCAAAATGTATGAAGTATACTCTTCAAGTAGCAACTAAAAATATATATCAATAGTAACATATGCTATCAGAACAGCTCGCCAATAATGAACAAATGAATTCCAGTCTATTTATAACCCCAGTCATTTGGGAGAAAACCCACATATTATTACCACATATCATTCCCCCTGAATTCTTTCCTTCTTGGCTATACATTAGGATATATTACAGGGGAGATTTACTGCCCTGGTTTAGTTTAAATTGAATTCATCAGGAACAATCAGTGACTTCAGTCCTCTGCAGATTTCAACAAACAGGTTACTTTAACCTGACACTAAAACAGTGAATCAACATTTTTGATAATGTAAGTATACAATGCCATATTTAGGTACACAAACAAATCTTTTTCAAATATTATACTGAAAATGGGCATGATTCACAATTCTGCTTGAGAATTAACAATGCAACAACTGGACAGAGAAAATGAATTAAAATTGCCTGTGAGCGCAAATACTAATTCATCATTCTACTATCCGACTCCCCTATTAATTGGTCATTCATTTGGTACATACATTCATATCAAATGATTATTAAGCAGACTCGAGAACATTATTTCTTCAACTTCTTTGCCACTCAATTCATTTCCCTTGTGAAGAGATCATCATTTCAAGATTAAGGAATAGAGTTCCCTTTTGAAAAAGATAAGAAACAACTTTTTGGGACAACATGAATAAATTGAGAAAAATATATATATCATCTTACATTTTTTGTTTTTAATAATGTAGTTTTCTGGGGGGTTTGGGGCTAAATGCTTGATTTCATGCAATACATTTCACATTCAGATCTGACATTCAAGTTGTCATATCTGGAACACATCCTTATTTCAGTAAAGAATTATTGTGCTTTGGGCATAAATGAATTATTAGACGTGTCATATTTCATGTTCTGTCTAATGAGGCATCACTACAAACTCAGTCTGGACCCCCCCCCCCCCCCCTCTCCCAAATAAAATAGTCTCAATAATTCAGGTAGCTGTATATAGCCATTAACTAGGCAGCAACATCTTTGTCAACCTGATAAAATTCAACGAGTAGATCATTATTGGGTAATAAGTGCCCATCCTTATTACTTCCCTGCTCACTTTCATAAAACATCTTTGCTGTTAGCTACATCCTCTCTGGCCTGACATTTAAAGATGGTTCATAAATCATTTGCAGCTCAATAGATTAGTTGCTGCGTGATGTTTTGAATGCGGTATAAGCTCTTCGCATCTAATTCAGTCAATACAGGACTTTAGCTTGGGGAATACATTTCAGAACATATTACACGCGCTTGTAGTTTTAAAAATACATTTCATTTAATTAAACATTACATTTTCAAGAATCTCTTAATAATCTATTAAATTACATTTTAATCTAGATTGAAAATAGCCTACAACATGCATGTCCACCTCAAATGGGTAACCGGTATGGCTAAGAAGGAACTCATCATTTCCCTTAGACAGAATCTAATACCCTTTTACACTGCTCCTAAATTTAGTTTGCTTCTGAAATACATGTACACGGTTCGCGCTTGTTTCCATAATCATTCAAGTTTATCACAAAATTGCACATGTATGTATTATGTGCCTATTTTCCTAATCTGATGCAATCTTTTTTTAAATGCAAATGACCTTAATTACCAAATACTAATCACCTTTGGGTAATACCTAGGTCGACATAACAGGGGAGTGGGGGGGGGGGGTGTCATCTCCTAAACTATGAAGAGCAGTAAAACACATGATTTTTTCTTGGTTTCAAAGAACTGACCACCTCTGATAAATTAGTATGAGTTTTACAAGACCGCTTGTTTGCTTTTTTCACCACTGTACAAGGAATGGCAAAGGACTTGCTTGAAATATCGTCTTAGGCTTGACAACCTTGATATACATGTAAAGACTTGGTTACATTAAGATGAGAAATATCAAATGAATTAAGTGATAATTAAAGACTTCCACTGCAAGGTCAATGATGTACATGTCAGATCATATTTGCGGAGGAAATCCTACAAGCAAATTTTCATAGTGATTATCATTTAATTCATCTTTCCTCCTACTCTGGCTCATATTGGTCTACATGTAGATTAATAAATTGATACTAGGAGGATTTATAGGATACAACATGTTCACCCAGAGGTCAGGGGTCAAAATGCAGTTATGAAGTGAAGGCTCTTGGCTTTTACTTTTCCTTCAATGCACGGGAGACAAATACCTATCATTCATCTGAAATTAATTTATAACACACATTATGGCAAGATTTCTGATGAATTTTTCTAAAACTAATTAGTAATTGAATCCTTCAAATTGAAACTTCAAATGTGGACCCACACTACACTTTACTCTTGTTCTTATCCCCATCAAAAACCCAGACGCAAACCTATCCCTGAAATAGAGCCTCAAGTTTCAACCTCCATCATTTATCTTTCCCACCCATCCCTACTAGACTCCACACTTTCTCCTTCTGTCCTCACACTCTCCTCCTAAATCCCCATCTTTCGTTCTTGATTTTCTCTTTCCCAGTCTGTCATTGAAATAGTTCTACAAGGTGATGACATCGTCCCATTCAGACCCCAGAAAGTGACACAGGAATGTAGCTCTTCCTTCTTCTATGAGCCACAGAAGAGAAAGACAAAGAGACTTTTAGTTCAAGTCCATCATCATTGTTGAAAGTCTGACGATGGCTATTAAAGGTGATTTCCTCTTTCAATGAGAAGTAGCAACCCTTGTAGCTTAAAATTTGTAAATAGCAGGTAAAATCATGCCTACATGTAGGTGAACTGCTTAACGACTGCACAGCAGCTGCACTGTAAATGTTTCAGATTGCAGGAATTTAGGGGACTAAGCTGAGCGTCAATCCCTCTTTCTTCAATTTTTTTAAACTTCAAACACTTCATCATTTGAACTTCATCTCTCTGAGTTATTCCCATTGAGTTATTCCCATTTCTTTTTTCTCCAGGATTCAATTTCTAGGCAAACACCTACTGACCTGCTTGTGTGGACATGTACGCACTGACCGCCAGATAACCTTTTACAAGGAGAGCGAGCGAGAGCGGACTACCTTGCCATCTCGCTCAATGCATCTTTCCCCAAGTGCATGTTGTATCAGGGTCAGGTCAAGTGCCACCAATGCAAAAAATGACTGAGGCTCAACTATCTAAATGTAGGCCTACATACATGTATGCAATGCGAGGTAGAATTTTAGGATGAAATATCTGACATGACATGACATGACATGACATACTACACTATTAATGCGCTGTCATCATTCTAGTACTTTGGATTCTCTTTGTGGATTTTACAATAATCACATCAAATTCAATTTCCTTAAAAAGTTTGGTGTGCAGCTGATTTTATATTCAGCATTCACAAACTTTTGTTCATCGCTTTCATCCATGTCGTACCTGAATTTAATTTTTAAAATTATTCAAAATGTGTCAATTGTAAGAATTTCAATTACTATTATAGTATGCAAGTAGGATGTTTCATACTAATGCAAAACATTCTTGAATCAGTAGCAAAATATAAATAGGAGCACTTTATATGTAAGTACCCTGTGGGTCAAGAAAGCCGAGACAAAGTTTATCACCTTTGTGGTAACCGAGAAGAAATCACATAGCAATCTTGTTAACCCTTCCTGAAATAAGAAGTCTCCCTGGATTCCAAAAACTAGGTCAGAATGCTAAATACCACCTCAAAGTGACGGGATATCTAGGCCAAATTCTACATTGAAAATCTCAACAGAGAATGATGCCATGCTTTATCTCACCTAATGTTTTTGTTTTCAAATTTCTATATTATACTTTACATGTAGAAGTATTTTTAAAATTCTCCCCTAAAACTGAATTCTTTGAAACAGTTTTTCTTAGCATGTTGACAATGATGTCTGAACTATCTTGCACTGGGGTCTACAGGAAACTGTGAGATAAAACAATTCAACACAATCAACAGGTGAAGGAATGATATAAAAAGTTGTTTTCTTTAAAGTAATTTTCTATACCCACATTTACACTGCCCAAAATTATGAAAAGAGGAATTTAATTACCATTTCTTTAGCAACTTGGTCAGGTTCATCTTTATTCAAATCAATCTCAAACTGGAGAGCTTCATTGTCTCTGTGCCTCTCTCTTCTCTTCTTGGGGTCTTCCACACGCAGCTGGAGCTGTATCTGATCTTTGTTGTCATCATGGACGATGTCCACGCGGAAAGCAGTATCCTCAAAGAATGTGTGCTTCAGAAGCTCCTGGATAAGATACCTGGAAAGGAGACATAATAAAGAGGAGACCATTAATTAGTCATGTGACCTTCAGCATTGAAATTAAAATATAGGCAAGGTGGTAGCCATAGCTAGCTGCGACGAAGTTATTTTTGTGCCAACAATTCACAAGAAATTGGCTTGGAGTGGTCTGAAAAAGATTGCACCACTATGCAAAGGAAAAGAGAATCTATTAACAGCTTATTTCACTTGGTATGCAGAAATATATACTTCTCAGTAGATCCAGTTACAAAATATCTCTTCAGTAGACACACTGGAAATGACAGAAAATATGAAAGAATAGGAAATAGACGGTGAAAAAACAACATAAAATTTATATTAAGAAGTTCAAAATCATAGTGATATCAAGCAAAATGTCTACAACACGTTAAGAACTTGAGCCTTGAGCACAGTGAAACAAATCTATTGAACAAAATGGACAAGGAAGCAAAACCTGCATCAAAACAAAGTATTTGTAGAGAAGTTCAAAGTATGTTTCACCATAGGTTACTGTTACTGATCACAATTAAGATTTTAGTCAATATCAGATGATTGTAAAATTTTATTAACAAGCTCAAATAGAACTTAAATCAAACCAAATATCAAGTAAAATTACACTTTTGAAGTCAATTCATATTCTTTCCTGACAACACATAGGAACGAAAATGACCAAATATCTTGGACTCGCCCAATTATAGTTTAGATATTAGATTGTGCATGCGATGGATGTGCATCAATCTTAAATGAGCCCCATGAATCCTGTCGAGACTAGAGGAGTTAATGATTGGATGACCATAAGCAGGTGTCTCTTGGAATGGAGATCATCACTTACTCTTCTACTTTCACAAAGCTGTGATATTAATAATTCAGAGAGATGAGCTCCCATAAATCTTGTCCTTGGGGAAAGGAAAGAATGGACAGGAGGCTGGGAATAAGGAAGCTAATCAAACTACTACATTTTCATTGCAGACATGGGATTCTTTTATATGTCCAGTAACTCACTTTCACCCTGGGAATATTTGTACACAAAGATTGTCTAGTCTGTTCACCTATTGATCATCTTTGTTAATATTTTAAGAATACATGACAAACTAAAATAATCACAATTCTGTACAGTCTTCATGTCATTGCGTTAATCGAAACAAATTCAATCAAATTCAAAATTTAAAACAAATTAGTTACTAAAGGTTCAAATTGGAGAATAAATTCAGGTGTATCAATAAAACTGTAAAAACTGTACATACATGTACATGTACATAGAGTAACATTGAACAGTATACACTGTCCATGATTTAGCAACTCATCTGTCTATCTTATAAAACCCCACTTGAAAGTTGATGCTGCCAAAAGATATGTGGGGAGAAAGAATAATCTTACTTTCTTCTTGAAGTTTCTTTTCTTTTTCTTCTTTCTTGCTTATTCCTTTTTTTAAAGTAATAATTCAATTCAAACTTTCTATAAATTGGAGCAGGTAGGTGACTAAATTACAAGTGCGGAGACCAGGAAGCATTAACAAATTTGTGGCCACAAATGGAATTAGTTCGTCAGTTTTTCCACAAACTTTCCATTAACATTAATGGCTAGTACTGTACATGTAACTAGTAAGTCTGAACATAATGTACCACGCGCACTATTTCACCACAAGTTATCACCACAAGTTATCACAATAGAGATAAGCCTGCACAGGAAAGGGGGGGGGGGAGGGGGGAATCAAGTAGATTGTGGTTTATTTCCGGAAAATAAACACATCCAGTCAATGGATGTGTGCCAATGTACATATGATGATAAAGAGTAGAACTACATGCAAGCCTACACATTGTGTCATATACTATATTTGGAAACAGCATTATCAACACTTGTGAAAACATACAAACCTGTTCTTTGTATTTCTGTTTTATAAAACATGTACAGTAATTCGTAATAAATGTATCCCACTCACATCCCACATTTTGTCATGTGTAAAGGATGGCTTTCACTTAAGAAATTGATTAATGGTTTCATGATTATTATTTTGCGCAATTGTCACTAAAAAAACATAAATAGAGAGCTGGCACAACTTTTGTAAAGGTAAAGGCATGAAAAGACTTCATATGCATGCACTAAAGCATAAACATTCATGATGTGTTTAAATTTTAGTTTTATTCTGGGATTCTCCTTCGAAAATACCGAAAAATATTGTATACACATCATTACTTTAGGAGGTATTCACAATCAGAGAAGGATTAATGTGTCTCATTGAATGCAAAGGACTGCATGAATGGAGCACAGAGAGATTCTTTTCTTATGATAAACATGGCAAGGTATGTGCATCATCAGTTACCTAGGAAACATACATGAGTTCTAGGGCGTTTTTAGAAATGTCTTTCTTGACTCCTCTAGTCTGAAAGAATATCAAAAGATGTGAACTTTGCTTTCAAATGAATAGTAAGTCAATATCCTGGTCTGAGCAATACACATCAATGAAAGAGGATAAATGCCTTATAAAGATTTCCTTCTTTTCTATAAATGTCATTGCTGTTCTTGCAAAAGAACAGGGTTTCCATATTTCAAAGATGACATAATCTATCAATAGTCGGGAAAGCACGATAAATTCCATTTCAAGTAGCCTTGCAATACCTCAATACAGATAATCTAGCAGATTTCTCATTTCTGTTTAATCTGCATTTCTTGGAATATCTTCTCATATTGTTAACAAACATTATTAAATTGAAACACCAAAAGACATTTTTAATCTCCTTCACTAACTTCGCATTTACACAAAAAATACAAATAATAAAGTAGTGTTGTTGATACCATGTACATGTAATTTATGACATTTATGATCCACATTTCTCAAAATGAACAGGACACACTCTTTTTAATATCTACATGTATATATGAGACGAAAGTGCAAACCTGTACAAGAATCACATAAAGAATGCAAAGAAAACATACAAGTGTAATTTGCATCAAGAGCAACCTTTCGGAGCGTAAGAATATCCAAATGTTGCCTCTAGGGGACAGTCCAATGACTACTTCATGAAAACTGTGACCACTGACATAGTGTATAAGATGCATAATCGAACTCCTGGTGCCATCAAAATTGAAAATTGTTACCCGTCATATCAGAATAGGTAGGTCAGAATAGAGACCTATGTTTCAAAATTGGATCAAATAAAAGGGAAAACTAGTTTTTCTCCTTTCATTCTAAGTAACTACAAGTTAACTAAAAAGAAGGGGGCTACTCCAGGAACACACAAGAGTGCTTCTTTAAACATACAGATTTAAAATAGTTAAGTAATTCTTTGAAGATCAATAAAATGTTGCATTTATTCAGGAATGCAATGACGAAGTATTTATTATATTTATATTTAATTTTTTTTTTATTTAAAGAAAACACATAATATCAAACCAACTGGAAATCAATGCAGACGAGGATAGGGAAAGCTCTATCTTAAATGGAATCATCTGCAAGACGGGTGCATATTAAAGCAGAGAAGTTGGGAAGACGGATCACGTTTAATGATGAGCTCAGGATGGGATGTATCGCCTCCCACTCTCTCTCTCTCTCTCTCTCTCTCTCTCTCTTATTCTCTTTTTCTCTCCAAAATGAACAGACTGCGGCATGTAGACTGCATTGATTGCCCAAATGCATGTGACCTGCATTGCCAAAATGCATTGCCTCTCATCCATAACTTGGCCTGACACCTTCTCCATTCTCTCTGACACTTTGCTTCATGCCATCTGCAATTTGCATTATTGAATGTGCTGCAGACATTGGTACATGTGAGAATCTATCATGAATCAAATGAATCAAATCAGATTTCTATTTTCCAACCATCCCAAGACATGAGGAAACAATATTCTTCATAAGTATAAACATCATTTTGTTTCTCAACATAGTAAACACTTATAGTAATACAAACATTACCCATGCCTGTATATTGCATGCAAAAATATTTCTCCTCATGATCATTTACACTTTCCGAGATGAATTAACGAGCTTCAACGCTCCCAACAAAAATAATTGGAATGAATAAAAGATGCAATAGTGCAGATCGCATATGGTATATGGGCCCCCAGAATGTTGCTCTTGTAGAAATGTCCATAATAAATGCATGAGGCAGACCTGGGTTATAAATCAAAGCTAGGCTTGCTTTCATGAAATAAATTTGCGGGGACCAGTCTGCCGTGCAGCTGAAGTGAAAGGGGTCATGTCAGTGTCTTCACTCAACAAGAGACTGTGAGGTGACGCCTCTCTCATTTCGAGAGAAGGAAGGATCATAGGTAAACCACATCTCAAATGAGGATCTCACGTGATTTTTTTTTTAAGCTGGGATCTGACCTTCGTGGGGCTTCTTCATGCCATTAATAAACTGGACTGATCTAAGACTCATTTTCCTTCTATAACTAATAAGCAATTTAAGCTTACTTTGAAATATATTCTTCCTCAATGTTTATATAGTGCATAGTGAAGCTTTGATTAATTACGGGTGACATAAACATAATTTCTGATATCATTGAATAATGAAAGATAAAAACATGTTTGTTTGTTTTTTCATTTAATGTACAGTGTAAGCAATTGTGTGAATGACAAGGAAATAACCCTAATGGTAAGAAGAAAAAAAAGTTAATTCATTCAATGCAATGATACTCCAATTATTGTCTACTGGTATTATTATACAGGGTCTCTTTAACCACATTGAGTTGACCTAGCTGTACCATCTGATAGCCTCCCCGCCACTGAATAATGGTCATACTCTCACGCTTGGTGTTCATGACATATTCTGCAACATAAAACCAACCCAGACAAAAGGTAGATGCATCATTTGGCAGGCCAGGGCAATTGGAATGTCTATAGAGTGACAAAGACCCCACCACAATGATCTTTCATCTGTGTCCAGAGTATCACCGCTTGATGATAAAATCTATAATATTGAAGGTATTGAGGGTATTCTCATTCGTGGGGTGTATTAATAGCAGGGTCATGAGGATTGTAATCATGGATGGATGGATGGTTGG